TGTAGAACGTCAGTGGTTAAACGACAATGTCATCAACTTTTACCTCAATCTCATAGCATTGGACAACTGGTGTAGAATACAACACATAGAATGCGACGCGGAGAATAAGATAGTTATTAGAGAAGGAAAGGGTCGCATTCCTAGAGTTTCGGTGTTGAGCTCATTTTTGTTCGTCAAACTTTTCAACAATGAAATGACATATAGAGGTCGAGAGGTAGAGCGCTGGTGTCAGGACATTATCATAAGTGACATGGACTTGATTATTGCTCCTTTCCATATCGAACACAAGAACYACTGGACCCTTGTCGTGGCTGACTTCAGGAGGAGGAAATTCAAATTTTACGACTCCCTCGACCCCGACATGGAGTTGGCGAGAAACGTGACCGGCGGGTTTACAAAGTTTATATTCGAAAGATCGAAATCACAAGGCAAAGAGGTGGAMACGAAACCATTCAATCACTTATGGAATGTAGAGGGCATTCCGAAGCAACACGACACGAACGAGTGCGGGGTCTTTGTGCTAACGTACGCATCACTGTTGGCACGGGGCCAACTTCCACCTTTTTTTTTCACTGCTGATGATATACCCGCGATACGTCGTCGAATGGCTTTGGACACAGTGGCTCATGAGTGGTGTGTATATGATAATCCGTAATATGATTTGGAGGGGGGGCGGATGCCACAAAATGGTTTGTGACAAAAACAATGTATATAAGGTGCCAAATATTACTCGATACGTTGTGCCACTTAACCCTTGCAATTTACCACATATCCCTTACACCTCACCCCTTACACCTTACCCCGTTCACCTCACACCTTGCCCCTTACACCTTACCCCTCACCCCTTACACCTTACACCTTACACCTTACACCTTACACCTTACCCCGTACCCCATACACCAAACATCTCTTTGTAATGGTTTTTGCACCTAAATCATCTAAAAAATGACAATTTCAATTTCGTTCAAAAAATATAAAATATCCGTTTTGACGAAATTGTTGTTCTTAGGCCATTGTTGTATGAGTGTCTCTGTGTTTGTCCGGCATGTGGTCAAGAATGACCTCGCCGACCAAGTATTTGTTACATGTGTGCGCCCGGTGAGTAAAGAAAACAAAGAGGAAAGGCCGATACCCCCCAATGTGCATAAGTTGCTTGTTAAGTTCGCTGATGTTGGACAGACCCCAAGTGGAGTGGTTGAGAGAGAAACCAAGCACCGGATTGAGCTAGAACTCGGTAGCCGGATTCACAAGGGCCCTATTTATAGGATGTCTCAAAAAGCGCTCGATGAACTGCGAAGGCAATTAGATGAGTTGCTTGAGAAGGGGTGGATTAAACCAAGTTTCTCATCATTCGGTACACCAGTCCTGTTCGTACCAAAGAAAGGCGGCAAACTGCGAATGTGCATAGACTATAGGGGACTTAATGCGATAACTGTTAAGAATGTGGAACCGTTATTACGTATAGATGATCTCCTGGATAGAGTTCATGGTTGCAAGTATTTCTCTAAGATTGATCAAAAGTCGGTATACCATCAGATTGAGGTATTGGTCGAGGATCAACACAAAATGACTTTCCGAACGATATATGGTCACTATGAATCCGTGGTGATATCGTTTGGTTTGACTAATGCCCCTGCAATCTTCCAGAGATGTATGAATGAGTTGTTTTGTGAATGGCTTGATAAATTTGTGATTGTTTATTTATATGATATACTGATTTTTACTAAGAGTCTGAAAGAGCATGAAGAGCACCTTCGAATTGTGCTTAATAAGTTGCAAGAGGCAAAAATTAAGATTAACCCGACAAAGTGTGAGTGCGCAAAGAGTCACGTCCCTTACTGCGGACATATGGTAGATGGTGATGGGATCAAACCGGAAGACGCTAAGATCGCAGTCATTACAGATCGATCTAATCCTCGCACGTTGACAGAATTGCGCTCGTTTCTTGGTCTTCCCAACCATTACCGCAAGTTCGTTCGAAACTTTACCATAATCGCTGCCTCATTGTGCAGGCTGTTAAAGAAAGAAACTGTCTGGAAATGGGATCAAGATTGTACTGCGTCCTTCAAACGTGTAAAGAAATGTTTGATTAACTACCCGGTATTGAAAGTTGTAGACCCATCTCTGCCTTTTATCGTGACCACTGACGCCAGTCAATACGGGATTGGTGTTGTACTCCAGTCTCCAGCAAGACGTTGGAAATGGGTACAAGCCTGTAGAGTTTATGTCCTGTAGACTGCCTAGCAGAAAGGTCATCGCTTCTACCTATGAGACGGAGTTGTTCACTTTGAGAGAAGCATTGAATCACTTACGACATTATCTGCTAGGACGCCACTTTAAAGTTTACTCAGATCATGAGACACTTTGCTGGCTAAAAACCCAGGCCCGGATGACACCTAAACTGACCAGGTGGGCTGGGGAGATTGATCAGTTGGTCTTTGAATTGAAGCCAGTAAAGGGTAAGTATAATGTTGTCGTTGACGCTTTGAGTAGAAGGGCTGACTTTTTCGGTATCATTGTCACATACTTAAATGCAAGCATTGAACTGTAGGAAAATATTAAGTCTGGCTACGCAAGTGATCCAGTCTATAGTAAGTTGATTGGCGAGGTGCAGACGGCACCTCACGAAGTCCCGGACTATAGAGCTATGTATCACTTGCTGTGGCGACCACGGGCCATTTTACCACCCGCGGTCGGGAGCCCGGCCGTGGTAGCCGACCGCCCGCGACCGAGTGTGGTCGAAAGACCCCGACATTTTTAACACCAAGGATAATAGGCAAAAAAAAAAAAAAAAAACGGGGTTGTTGTTTTTTGTGCGCTCTACAACCGTATATTTTTAGTTTTGTTTTTTGACTTCTTTTTTTATTTAAAAAAAAAAAAAAAAACAGAAATCCCTCAGGCAAAAGTTCTTCACTTTATTCTTTTAGTAAGAAAAATAAAAGATTTTATTTATTTTTTATATCAAATTTGGTAACGAATTTGGATATGACCCGAAGGCAAAAGTTGTTCAGTTTAGTTTTAGGCATAAAATATATTTGTTTCAGATTTTTCTTAATTCGTTTTTTTTTTTTTTTTTTTTTTTTTTTTTATGACCGCAGCCTCGCGACCGAGACCGCGGGGGATTCATAGCTATAGAGTAACGCCAGGACTACTGTTTAAGAAGACAGATATCCATGATCGACTATGTGTTCCGAACAATGAAGAAATTCGTAGCATAATACTTGGGGAAAACCACAATACTAAGGGGCACTTCGGATGGAGAA